TTTTTTTTTTTTTACGAAATATGGGCTCGTAGTCACTATATGCTTGTAGTAGCACATCCATTTCTGTCGGGGAAAAACGCAGACCTATTTTGGCTTGGTCCTGTTGCCATGGTGACTCGTAATTTCTTCACTCCATTGTTCAGGGCTTTTTATAGTCGCGTGGCACGCGCCTAACTCTGAGTCAAACAACCCAGAGTTGATTAAACCAACTCTTTTAAGCTGTTCTGAAACCGAAAACTCCAAGTTTTCCAACTCTGGGTAAGTCAACTCAGAGTTCAGGTTTGAACTCTGAGTTTGTTAAACCTCCTTCTTGAAACGGGCCCCAGGAGACCACAGAGTTTTGCACCTTTGGGGTGTATGTTAGAGATCCATACGGTACGAACTCCCCCGTTATTACAAAAAGTGCAGAACTCCACCAAGGGTGATTCTTCCTCTAAACCTGTTACCGTGACAATAAAATACACTACCTACCGTGTGACACTACTACTGTGAGAGTCTGTGTACGTTTTGCTCCTGCTCCCAGTCTCAGCAGACTTCAGCTCCACTATGTGTACATTAAGAGACTTCTTCCAGCCTCTGCTCCCTGCGCTTACCTACTGTGACAGGACCTTGAAGTAGAAACAGTTTGTGGTAAATCTGCTCCGACCTCCTGTGACAAACATCACTCCGAGGCAGCGTCTCACTCATTGAGCTTTTAATATGACTTTTTTTGTACATCACATCTGTTTTAAAAAAAAAAATCAGCTCTAAAGAATCACATTACTACTCTGACTGACCCACCTGAGTGCATTTACAAAGGACAGACTTCAAAAACCAAGCATTCCAGGGTATTAATACATTTTTCTAACCAGAAAGGAGCTAAAGCAACAGATCCATCTCTGCTTTGACAGTCTGTCTGCATGAATCAGGAACATTAGAGGGAAGAGGACAACATGGGAGCAGGACAGGAGGTGCTTCCTGTTTTCTCTGACCCACTTCCTCTTGCAGTGTCTGATGCTGCCTTTAGCAGATCTCAGCAGACAACAACAAAGATCTGCTGCTGGTCACTGTGAGGCTGTCCTGCAAAGAATGATGTTAAAGTCATCTGTTGCTTTATTACAGCTTCTATCCACTGCTCAGTATTCAAACTCCTCGCTAGAGAAAAGTCCCCCAGAGCCAACACAAGCCTCCGCCATCAGACAGATGCTCGGGATGCAATATAGTCTCAGGCACTGTGGAAACGCTCTCTCTCTCTCTCTCTCTTGCTCACACAATCACACACACTGCGGCACTGAAGTGTTTGCTTCTACTGGGCGCTGCTTCCTCTGTCAGTCGTCAGGTTCGGTCACACACTGCTCCACGATCTCTCTCAGGTTCGGGTTTTCCATGGCAGCCGCCACTCGCTCCTTGTCATTGATCTGTTTGTTAACTGGAGACACAGACAGCACATTCCTTCACTGGGCCAAGGAATCACAGACTCTTTAGTTTCTGTCAACATTTACAAAGTTCATGTTGTGCATCCAACAGTTTCTTTAGCTTCACTAACCTTTAAAGTCTAATGCTGACTTTGAGAAGGTGCAACCCACATGAAAATTGTCTCGGCAGGTTGTTTATCAAAAGAAACCTTTTGCTCTTTATATTAAAAAAATAAATACAAGAGACTTACTGTCTTCTTCAGTGGAATGGGTTCCTTCTGAAACGTAAATTTCCAGCTGAGAAGAGAAAGAAAAACAGCTGAGTTAAAAGGCAGAGTCAACTCGCACACTTTATGTAAAGTCTGTTCTAAGTGTAGCACTGAGTGGAGGGAAGTTTGACAAGTGCCAGTGACACATGCAGCAAAAGGCCATTACTGATCTGAAACTGGTGACAGTACCACTGCTGCTCAGAGAAAGACTAGAAGACTAGTCTTATATAAGACATATAAGAACAAATTAACAAGCACCAAGTATATACAAGCATTCAATATCCTCATAGTTCATTCATTCATCCTTAGCGAGGGCAGGCTCATGAAATGTACAGAGGCAAGTGAAAAAAAATGTTTTGTTGTGATTTGGGTGCACTGACCCTTTAACAAAACAAGCCACTACTCTGGTACTCACCTTATGTTTAAAAGGCAGACACCTCTGCAGCTTCACCTGTAAGCACAAGCCTGCAGACACACAAAACACAACCAGCATTATATCATTTAAATCTTTCCAACTGGCAAAAACATGACCAGCCTTTGTTTAATCCTGTCACAGAATGAGAGTGATAATGGGCCTGAAAAAGGAATAGAGAGACTCCAACATTAGAACAAACGGGTTGTTTCTTTCTTTTTTGACCAGAGTTTCAGTCACACACATTTTGTGCATCCTCAGCTGTGTTTGGCATTATCAACAATGATCCGATTCCATCCTGAAGGCATTCACCACAGAGACACATACACCATCTCTGCTGACGTCTGACATCATGAAACGTTTGATGAATCAGAGAGCTTGTTCTGCTTTCAGCAAGGGACAACAGCTTTAGCAAATCTCCATTTCTGCTTCCTGTCAGTTGTGTTATCAGCAGTGACTCACCAATCAGAGTGGCCAGAGAGCAGTGAGGGACTGTTGGAGAGAACTTGATAATGATGAGGTACTCATCCTCTCCGAGCTCCTGGACCTCCACACATTTCTCCGTCACCACCTCCAGCTCCTCCAGGCTGTTGGGCTTCTCTGGGTCCCGGATCGATCGAATCACATCTAATGAAGGGACAGAAAACGAGATAATGATCTATTTGAGGTCTATATAAATAAGATTACTATGGTCTCTGTGACCAAACTCCACTGAGTTCTTCATTGGCATTAATTCCAGTATGTTCGGCCTAATCCAAACAAATTCCATAAAAAAAGTAATCTACTTGAATCCCGCATTGGCGCCATTCTATCAACACAAGATCAAACCTCAGTCAGGAAATGATCTATGAGTTCAGAACCACTACATACACCAAATAGTGCCCTTCACATCAATCACACAAAACTCTATTCAGAAAACTATCCATTTCAGTTCTGTAATAGTACTAGTCCCAGTATGCGCATTACAGTATAACCACACCAAACTCCATTGGTACAGTCATCTATTTAATTTCAGTAACTTACCAGTTGCCTTCAGTCATGGCGACTTGTCATAACTACAGAACTTCATAAACCTCACCAAGATCACATAGTAAAAACACGACTTATTCACCCTTCAGCAAATTGTAATAGAGTCTTCTATCAAACATTCCATCTCAATACAACTGGGCGCCATCTGTTGAATTAGATGGGCAGTTATTCATGATTATTATTATGAAAAATAATAAATGAGTCTGGTGTAATCCATTCTACAAACCCTGACACCAGTTGGCTAACTTTGGGCCTGTTCGAGCGTCACTCACCGTACACCTCTAACGCTTTGTCCTCCATCTTTTTGGTCTTCAGGGCATTACTGTTATCGACAAGTCCAGACAACTGTAAAACCTTGGTGAAAGTTATCGACGCAAGGCTGAACACTACTTCCATTTTTTAGAAAACGCCATAATAACCAGTACAAGTTGTAATGACTTTGACAAAAAAAAACGGACACTGTCGTTAAGGGACAACAGCTTTAGCAAATCTCCATACGCATGTGGATTATATCAGCAACTACATACAATGTAAAAAAACAACGTAAAGTTGTATAGAGATCAGTGGATTTGATCGCAGCCAATGAGCGTCCGCGTGTCGCGTTACTTCCGTATTTAGTTTTCAAGGAAAAGCAAACGATAAACTATCTACGGACGGAAGAATCTTTATTGTCTTTTCAAGTTTTAGTATAACACGTTAGCTACCATGGAAGTACAGAAGTAGAAATACATCATACAACATATTTGTTTGATTTGATTATAATATACAAGACAATGATAGTAATAATAATACACCATAAACAAATGTATAAAATAAAATTCTAAGCATACAATTTTTTATTTTTCAAAATTTATTATTTTTAATCGCTTTGAAAAACAACACACAAAGCAACCACACAGGTACAGTAAAAACTAAATACAGAATGGAAGAATATATTTTTTAAATGAGAACTTAAACTATATACATAAACACATCTGACCTTAATAATTGGCTCCAGCGCCCCGTGACCCCGTTTGGGACTAAGCGGTTTAGACAATGAATGAATGGATGGATGACCTTAATAAATCATCTGACAATAAGATCTAGATACCAAATTCCAACACACCTGGCCAATAAAGCTGATTCTGATCCAAGAGGTTTTAATCACATTACCAACATCGTCATTCGATTAGTTGGCATTGGTAGTTTTCTATTGGTCAGATGTGGTCAGCTGAAAGGAGGAAATAGGACATGTGACCCGAGCTGCTGTTTACATGATAGGAAGAAATGTCCCGACTTCTGTCTAGAAGTGTTTGTTAGATTTTATAACAAACAGTTTTTAGTTTAATGTCTCCGCCTGTTTGACACGTATTTATTTCCCATGTGAAGATGTTGGAGGCGGCTCAACGGCTGGAGAACAGCCCTATAGAGGTGGCTGTAATCCGCGAGAACCAGCGCTGGGGAGACGTAGCGGACATCCAGAAAGCTGAACATGCTCCCGGTGGAGCCCTGCTCGGCTGTTTGAGTTTCCAGGGACGGCTGGTGGTGGTGGACCCGGCGGACAGAGAGGCTCCTCCGGCTAAAGTGGACGGCTGCTACAAAGAGTGAGTCACCTTTCCTATGTTGGGCACAGATAGGAGGGAGTAGACGTAGGTCCTTCTTTGGCTCCTGGGCACAAGCATGTACATGGCCCCAACCCCTTATGTAAAAGACCAAGAACCACAGACACATTTTACGTCTTTTTGTAGTTACACTTTGTCTAGCAATACTTTGCTTCTCTTTGTTTTGTATCCACTTTTACTCTTTTTGTGTCCTTTCGTCGTTTTGCTCCTGTCTGTTTGTTTTGCATCTGTTTTCACTCAGTTTGCATTTCTTTGTAGTCATTTCATTGACTTGCTGTATCAAGATACTGTATATTAATTGTCAGTGTACTTACATTTCCAAGAGCAGTTTTCAGAATTCAGATAGATGCAACTAAAACCAGGATAGCAAAGCTAAATACACATTCAACATATGAAGGGGTAAAATTAGACCAAAGATAACTTGATTAATTATTTAAATCTTCTGCATCTGCAGCAGGCTTATTAACGTGAATGCAGCAAACAGGTGATCAGAGCTTTCCTTGTATTTTTCTTTTCAATTAAAGTCCAAATATAGTTTCTTCTGGAGAATCACAGCATTTTTTCCTGGTGTGTAAAGTTGATTACAAGGAGTAAGATTCACCACTGGGTCAGTCATTACATCTGAAATAAGTCAACACTGATTGTTTAAAGTTACAATACAATATTTGTCTGATTTATTCTTACTCACTGAATTACCTCGATTGGGGGAATCAAATCACTGCAGCGACACAGCCAAGAAACAAACCATTTTTTTCTATTCCTAGCTTTTCTTGGGAGGAGGTGATGGTCCACGACCAAGGTGTGAGCAGCTTCAGACTGCTGGCTGTTGGATCTCAGTATGACCTGAAGCTGCTGAAGGTGGAAGCAGAACGAGCAGCCTGCATTTCTCTGCTCTGTATGTCTGAATGTGCGGCAGACCGCCTGCTGCAGATAGTCAAAGAGCAGGGCTGCAGTGAGTACCACAAGCAGTCCATCATCACAGGAAGCAGATCTAATGCTTCAGAGTTGTAGCCATGTATATTGTTGATGTATAAATAATGCAGTAATTATTATTTACTGAGTCTTTATTTTCAGGTGAATGTGAGCTGCAGTCACTGCGTGTTTTGTCGTTTGCTGCTGGACGCTGCTGCGTGATGCTGAACAGTGACAAGCTGCTGCAGCTGCAGTGGCAGCAGATGGAGGAGGAGCCACAGATGTTATCCTGCTGCAGCATCCAGTCAGCTGACAGCAATAGACACCCTGTGGTCCACCACTGTGTCTGCAGAGACACCCTGTTTAGCCTCAGCTCCACTGGACTCATCTGTATCCTCCACTGACCACAGCTCAGTACACACTACCATTATTAATACTACTTATAATATTAATGATATAATTAATAGATAAAGTAAACAGAACTGAGATTAACTGTCCTGTATGAAAGAAACTAGTGGTGATCAAAGCTGATGAAACTATAACAAGGTCTGAGTCTGGACAAGCAGTATTGAGCAGATTAGTAGTATATTTGTCAAATATTCTAGTCCTGTTGTAAAATGTACCATTAATAAACAAAGCCTCTCAAACTGTAACCAGCTTAAATATTTATGTTGTTAATGTGAATGTCATTAATGTAATAATAATAATGCATGATTTACTCATGGAAAATGGGTCTGCCATAGAGGATTGCACAAACCCACACCTTGGACTGGAATACCATCATTTTGCACTCTTTGTTTGTTGTCTTGGTTTTTGCAGCATTGCTCTGTACACCCTAGCAGTCTTTTCTTTAATGTAGCCCTGCAGCTGTGTATAACGTCACTGATGGCAGTCTGCTGGCCACTGTTGACCTCCCCGCCTACCTGAGCTCCGGCCTGGCAGAGGATGGCGGCATCTCCTGTTCTTCCTCCTTCTGTCTCCTGCAGGTGTCAGCTGATCTCAGCACAGCCATAGCCGTCACTCAGTCTCACACCGCCGCTGCAATCAACCTCAACCTTTACTTCAGGTGCAGCAGCAGGAACACCAGCATCACTGGTTTTGGGGCATTTACTTTACTGTTTGTAGCTACAGGATCCAAACAGATCACAGTATCTTCTCACAAATCAGAGCTCAAATCTTTTCCAGATAATAAACCAAGCACCTGCCCAAAAACACACTACTCTTGTTGACACCTGTAACAAAGACAACATACAAGGGCTTCAGAAAGTCTTCATTTGATTGTGTTGCTGCTTTTGTCCATCACTCTGCAGTTAATAACACATAATGACAAAGTGAAAACACACTTCTAGAAATCTTTTATACATATACAGTATGCATTTAGTATCTGTGTAAATGTAATGTTATTTTCCTCCCCTGCCAGACAGAGAATGACTGTGTTCTGACATAAGACTTAACAGTAACATGTCGTCTTCCAGGATGTATCCCGACCATCTGCTGTGTGCTGCTCCCCCCACTCGCCCCCCACTCCAGTCACAGGACCCAGGAGACCAGGATAGCGTGTCAAGCTCCAGCTGTAGCCTCGCTGCCCTCGGATTAACCTTCAGGACTGACCGGTAAAGTAGTAACCACACCACAAAGGCTTGCATGGATGAGACCCACAGACACCCGGCACAACAACACCTATAATATATATAGGTTTCTCAATTAGAGGCACATAAAAGTATCAGAATAAACAAAATCATCAAACTGTATTTCTCGCTGAATCCAGCCGAAGCCTTAGCTGAATTAAAGCACCAAATTTCTTGTTATGTTCACTGAATTTTTAACAGGACTATGTTCTGGCAGGGTTCACTTAGCACAGGGGTGCTTTGAGGTAAATGCTAATGCCAGTATGCTAACATGCTAGCATGTCAATCTTTTGCAGGTATAATATAATATTATTCAAAAAGAATGAACCGATTTCATTACGCAGTATTTTATTAAGGAAGTCACAAGTATTCTACTCACAATCAACTTTTATTTCCTGTCTTACAAGTGTTCAATGTGGCCACCACCTGCAGGATGCTGCAGCACGGGCAACATCAATGATAAGAGAATTCCTCCCAGGCGCGTATTAGCATATCACGATCCACTGAGTTGATCGCTGTTGTTGTGGCCACATTGAACACTTGTAAGACAGGAAATAAAAGTTGATTGTGAGTAGAATACTTGTGACTTCCTTAATAAAATACTGCGTAATGAAATCGGTTCATTCTTTTTGAATAACCCTGTATTTACCATGCTGACTAGCTTTAGTTTAGTGTGTTAGCATGCTAACTTATGCTAATTAGAAGTAGGCATGCAGCACAGCCAGGGCTGATTGAAAAATCAAAACTTGAAGCAGTTGCCACTTCGGTCTTGGCTCGGCTGTGGCTCAGGAAGTAGAGCTGGTCGTTGCCTAACCGGAGGATTAGCGGTTCAATTCCTAGCTTGTCCAGTCAACATGTTGAAGTGTCCTTGAGCAAGCCATTGAACCCCCACTTGCTCCTACTGATAACACCAGTGTGTGAATGGCCAAATAGTGTGAAAGTGCTTTGAGTGTGCTGCAATGCATAGAAAAGCACTGTACAAGTACAAGAGCATTTACCGTTTATTGTGATTATTTCACATTAGCACAAATAAATGGTTGAATAGTCAATGTGATTTTTAGTTATGTAATGTAACTGGTTCACAGTCTTCTTAGTTGACCTTAGTTTCACCTGTAACATTTGATCCTGACCTCTGACCTCTGACCTCTAACTTCACCGTCAGCTCCTGGGAAGCTCGTCTGGCCTCCATGTACAACAGAGTCCAGCAGGCTCCAGCTCATTATGCCTCCTCCAGCCAGCCTGTGGGGACATCCTGGTCCTCCTCCCTTCCCCTCCTCCAGTTCCCCCGGGCTCCATCCTTGACCCACAGCAGAGTTCCTTGCGGCGGAATGACTGTCTCGTTCTCTGTCCCCGAGTCATCCACTCTGTCTCTGCTCACTGTCTCCGAGTTCTCTGCCCTGCTGACCTTTGTCTGCGCTGGCAACAGACAGACCACAGTGGCCTTTTGGGATTTGGAGTCTGGGAATGTGAGCTACCACCAGGTGGAGGGCGAAGCGGCCGTTGTTCAGTGCTGTGTAAAGAGACAGCACAGACTGCTGCTGAAGAGTAAGTCAGACTCAGACATGTCTTCAGTGTAACATCCACTTAATGAAAATACTGTTTGATTACAGTTTGGACCAGGTAGGACTGCCAAACTGACAGACAGGCTGTAAACAGAGCTCTTTCAGCTCTAAATCAGTGGTTATCTAAGCCATTTACTGAAACTGAAGGTGAAACTGAAAGTGAATGGATGTGACATGTTGGATGCAGTTCCTCATTTCATAGGAATTCTGCTTGTACACCACCTCAGTAGTTGTAACTTAGACTTGAGCCAGACGTTGACTTAATCCATCAATCAAAACTTTAGCTGAAGGGAATTTTTAGCCTTCCAATATTTAACATCCTTACGCCAGCTCATGAGAAACTGAAGATTGAGTGTTACTTGGTTTCAGTGGGACCTGCATGTCTTCTGCATAGCAGTGGTAATGAACATTGAATTTTTTCCAGGCAGAGCCCAGTGGAAACATATGATGATAATAAAACGGGGTTTGTGGTAGAGCCTTGGGGTTCCCCTCAGGAGGCAGTAGAAGTAGATGAAACATGATCAGCCATTAGTGATGTTGATCTTTGTTGTAGATGTGATATAAACCACTGTAATGTCCTTTGACCTCGTTTCCTTTTTGAGGTTAAGTCAGGTAAAACTGGTGCTTGGTTTACAGTGTGTTGTAACGTACTGCTCATGTTTCTCTGGCGTCACAGCATTTTAAGAGATTGGAACAAAATATCTCCATAACCGATTGAACTTCTAAAATTAGAATAAAACATGTAAGAAGAAACAAAAACAAAAGCAGACATGAGTGTATGAGGCTGCAGTTATCTGGCTGTTGTGTTTGCCTAGCTGTGTTTGAAAGAAACAGACTTCCTCTTCACATATCTCTTTCTCTCTCCAGAGGACGGTGTGTTCCAGCTGTTGTTCTCAGTTTCCCAGCAGGACTTGCTCAGCAGTTTGATGTTGTTTGGCAGTGCAGCAACAGTAGATGCAGTCTGTCACCTGAACAGCTGGGGGCGCTGCTCCATCCCCATCCACGCCCTCCAGGTGAGAGCCAACAGTCACCTTTACAGTGGAGACTGTGGCGGGATGACTTATACAATCCCAAATCATGAAACGTTGGGCCAGTGTGTAAAATTAAAACTGAAAACAGTGATATGTAAATCATCCGCGTCCTGTATGACATTGAACACAACACAGCAGCACATTATTTGATGTGATACCTCATCAGTTTTATTCTTTGTTCAAAATAAACTCTCATTTCAATCCTGATGTTGCAGCACATTCCAACAAAAGTTGGTTCAGCTGCATTTCAGGGCCAGTAATGAGGTAAAACAATGAAATGATGATTCCATTTGAACCAGCTGATGTCAACAGGTGACTGCATCATGACTTGGTACAATGGTGGCAGCCAGGAAAGGCCAAGCCTTTTGGGAGCAAAGAGGGGTCTAGGCCCGCCAGTTTGACAAGATATGTGTGAGAAAATCATTGAAATGTTCAAAAACAATGTTCAACAAAGAAATATAAGAAGGATTTGGATCTGTCGCCCTTTACGGTGCCGAACATCATTAAAAAATTTAAGGAATCTGGAGGGATTTCAGCGCATAAAGGGCTGAGCCTGAGCTGGATGACCAAGCTCTCTGATCCCTCAGACAGCGCCGCATCAAGAATCGTCACTCTGCTATAAGTGATATAACCACATGGGCTCAGGATGACGTTGGCTCACCTGTGTCAGCCACTACAATATGTAGTTACATCCATAAATGCTGCTTAAACCTGTGCTGTGTCAAAAGCAAGCCCTTTGTCAACAGTGTCCAGAAGTCGACTACTCTGGGCTCAGAGGCATCTGGGATGGACCATCACACAGTGGAAACGTGCACTGTGGTCAGACCAATCACTGTTTCAGGTCTTTTTGGAAGGAATGGACACCGTGTGCTCCAAAGGTGAAAAGGACCATCCAGACTGTTAGCAGCATCAAGTCCAAAAGCCAGGGTCTGTCATGGTCTGGGGTCATGTCAGCGCCCTGGACAAAGGTCACTTCCACTTCTCTGATGGCTCCATTAATGCTGAAACATACAGAGAGATGTTGGAACAACACATGCTGCCGTCAAGATGACGTCTTTTCCAGGGACGTCCATGTAGATTTGAACAAGACGATGCAAACCTCAAGCTGCACATTACCAAGTCCTGGCTGTGGAGGAAAAGGGTGTGAATGCTGGACCGGCTGCCTGCAGTCCCCACCTGTCCCCAGTACAGAATGCGTTGTTTGCAGGAAGAATGGGACAAAATGACACCTGTTTGTGCAAATTCTCAGTCATCCAGGTCGTAGTATGCTGAAAAAATGTAGAAGAAATCATCTGGATGTAGTTTTAGGTAGAAGACGTTCATCAGAACTGATGAAGCCTCTTGGATGAGAGGTGAAATGTCTTCTACCCACATCCAGATGATTTCTTCTACATTTTTTCAGCAAAACACCTGACACACTGAGTCACTTGGAGTCCTCACTCCCTAAAAGTCTTTTAAGTGTTGTGAAAAGGAACGGCAGCATCACATTGTGGTAAACGCTTTACTGTCCCAACTTTTTTGTGTTGCAGGCATCAGGATTGAAGTGAGTTTATTTTGACAAAAAATCAATCTGATGAGGTATCACATCAAATAATGTGCTGCTGTATTGTTTTCAATGTAATACAGGACCCAGATGATTTACACATCGCTACTTTCAGTTTTAATTTAGATTTTACTTACTGTCCCAGCTTCTTCTGATTTTGGATTTTAGTTAAAAAATTTTCACCATAACATCTGGGTGACTCAGTGAAGTTGGTTTGTGTTTTGGCAGGCTGGCCTGAAGAACCGTCAACTGGACACGGTGGATTTCTACCTGAAGAGCAAAGAAAACATACTGAACCCGTGGGCAGCGCTCGGCACTGCGGACCAGCCAGCAGCCTCCACGCTGAGCCTGACAGACAGTACGGACACAGGCTTCATACATTGTATACACAATGCAGCTACAGTTTTTCTAACACACTTATTTAAGCCCAGAAACTGCCCAGAGAGTAAATATGCATCATACATTTTGTTAACAGTCATATACAAATTCTACTAATAGTGGCTTTAATCATTGCTGTTTCATATATGGTGTATGCAAAGTTGTGTGAAGTTTATGGTGCTGACCTGTGTATGTCTGAAGGTGTCCAGGAGTTGTGTCCTGCTTTAGACCTGCTGTGTTCAGCTGTCAGAGACTCGAACAGTGATGCTCAGAGTCGGCAGTTCTCAGAGCAGCTGCTCAACATCACCATGAACTTTGTCAACACACAGATCCGCTCTGTGCTGTCCAACACGCACCGTGAGACCACACACATACACTTCAGTCCCGTTCAACATATACCATCCACCATCTGTCCACAGCTGACGGTGGTTAGCTCAGTTATAGTCCATCTTTTATTTTCTGAGAGTTACAGCTGGTTTGTTGTGTCTGCAGATGAGGATGCAGGTGTTCGGTGCTGCGTGGAGGTTCTGGACCGGTACCTCACCGAGCTGAGGAGCTACATGAAGAAATATCCCTGGCCCGCCGGGGGCGACACCTCCAGCCATGACTTTGCTGCTCCGATGGATGAGTGGGAGCAGCTGCCAGCAGAGGTGACATAAAGGCTACGTCACATCCCAGGGTTTAATGCTCAGGTCTGATGTTTCAGACAGCTCTGATCTGTGTGTGTCGCTGCTTCCCGTCCATGTGTGTCAGTACCGTGTACCTGGGTCCGGTGTGAACACCACTGAGCTCCTAAACTACCACACATGCAGAGATGTAACTGAGATGTCCACTACATGTGAAACATCCTGGTCTCTCCACTGACCCTGTCGCTCTCCTCTACATGTCACTCTCCCCTCTTCTGTGAGGGGCCGACGCTGAATGATGATGACAGGCCGTATGTGCAGAGGAGGAGACGTTAAAACGACCACATGGATTCTGATCTGACTGTTCTGACGGTGCTCGCATGGTCGGAGAGGAATCAGATCTAGGAGCACATACTGTATGCAGGTGGCCCAGATCTGGGATGTGGACACCTGGTCTGGTCTGTTCACACTGCTGTGGACACACCAGGCCTGGGTCACTGGGTGGAAAAACAGATCTGGGAAATGAGAGGCTGAATGTGTCTTTGTCTTCTAATTTAAATTTTGCTTTTAGGTCTTGTTGGTTTGAACTGTACTAGGCAGCAGGAAAATGTTACAGTAATTTATGTCAAACCTCTGTGTGTTCTTTTGTGTGTATGCTGCAGGAAGTAGTCCGTCAGTCCATCCTGACCAATCAGATCTCCAGAGCGCAGACTGTCCTGAGGAGGCAGAACTTCCCAGAGCAGCGTCTAGCCGCTCTGGAGATGGAGGGTCTGCGGCAGGTCTTCTCCTGCCTGCTGCACCGAGACCTGCAGACTGCCAACACACTGCTCATTAACATGGTCAGAGCACGTCACTGTAGGGAACAACAACCAGTCAAACCCTATTTTATGTTACATGTACAAGTTGAAAGGCTAATGTTTGTAAGTTACATAACACATGTTAAAAATCCAATATCTAGAAACATGTTGAAGGAATACTTCAACTTTTCAAGAGCTATGAGTGACTTGACGTAAAGGTGCCGTCCCAGGTCATACTGGGAAGTCAGTTATTGTAGTTGTTTCGGCACGTTCGTTGGAACAGTCAGCAGTTGGAACTGTAAAACATTTAGTGCCTGATTGCTGCAGTTTGCATCTGAGCCCGTGCTTCTTCAAATGTGAACACAGTTGTACTTTTAGACTGAGTAATATTTACACTTCCTGAGGATGTCTCTATCTCAGAAGCATGTCACAAGTAAACATCCACAAAGTCAGCATAGAACATATGGAAAAATGATGCTCCTTCTATCTGCAGAACCTGCAGAAGAACCCTGCTGATTTTATGTTTCGTATCACAGTAATCCAGTGAGGGATGTCTGCACATCCATGGATACGGTGCACACAGGATTTGCTAATGGTAATAGGTCATCTGGCATACAACTCACTGGTGGCACCATTAGTCTCTATGTGTACCTCTCCCACAGTCACAAGGCTGCAGTTGAAAAATTTAAAGGTTTAAGAGCATGAATAGCCCCAGAGCAGGGGGTGGGGGCTCCTGTCTCCAGAAATTAATCTGGACTGTCTCATCTGCAAAGTATGCACGATAGCATAGTAAGGTTAGCAGTCGGCTATACATTCACACAGCTGAGTGTTTTTAATCTAAATCTAAGTGACAGCAGCTTTTTGGCACAGTGACCAAACTGTGGTTGTTGTGTTTTCAGGGTTTCAGTGTGAAGAAGCAGCTCCACAATATTTGTCTTCACACCGACGACAAGGACCTGAGGGAGTTTGTGGTGAGTCTGACATTTCACAGTACACACAACCATCTTCTTCGTACCTGACAGTGCCATTGCTTTTTTTCTGTCTTATAATTTATGTTGGATGTATCCAGCACATATTTAGGTTTCAGTTTATTTTATAAAAGTTTTTGCACAACATAAAGTTTTAGAAGCAGGTGTGTTGGATCAAAACCAAAGAATCCTGCCCGCTGTCGTCCATCACGCAAACTCAGTTTGTCTGCATGAACTTTGCCTAATGAGGACAGAAATGCTGATAAGTCCCAGCTACAGAGCACATGTTTTTCTGGGTGTTGCATAATGTTTCTGCCCTTTTGTTCCAGTGAATAAACTCAGACCTGCCCAGTACTTAAACTAAGGGGAAAGGCAGCGCTGTGTTTACTGCTCCATGTTAGAACTCTTAACAAGTCTTTGCGGCCCTCTGATTGGTTGCTTGGTCAGGTGGAGGAGCTGTCAAGGCAGAGTTATTTTCCAGAGGACATGATGCGGAGTGTCACATTCATAAGGGAGATGGAGAGGTTGGGATCACTGCCTGCGTCCCGCTGCCCAACAAACACCTCATCACAGAGGTTGAGATCCCGTGTTGTTGCATCCCTATTATGTTCCTTCTCTGTCTTCTTTGTAACCTCTGTTTTGGTCTCCTTTTCCTTCTTATTTCAACTTATTTCTTATTTCCAAATTTCTTTAACTTCTCCGAATGTTCTCTTTAACCCCTTCTCTCATCTGAGTTTCCTTTTATGAATGAATTCCAGACAACTCCTTTATTTATTCAGTTGTTTTATGCTCTTGGATTGAAAATGCTAATCGTCTTTCCAGGGCAGTTCAGATGGTTCACAGGGAAGCAGGAGGTGGTCTGCAGGTTCTGGAAGAGCTGGTGGGACAGAGGAGCTCTGACAAGGAAGGGGGGCTCTGGAGGAACCTCAGATTGGACTGGGTGAGGAACTGGGACCAGAGCTGCCAGACTGCCATCCTGCTGTCCAGACTCCAACACACAGGTATAACACCTCAGAGCTAAAAACAGAACAAAGACGCCCTCTGGCTCCTGAAAGTCTGTTGTGGTCCAAGACCTGTCTTGTGTTTGCTTTGTTAGAGCTGAGTTACTGTGACTCGGCGGTGTTGTGGCGATACCTGACCGCCCTCCACGACCAGCACCGGGTGGTCAGCTGGGTCCAGACCATGGAGACGTCCGAAGCCTCCCGGTGGCCGGAGTTAACCCCAGAACTGGTTAACAATAACACAGAGTGCAGCACCTACATGAGGGAGATCATCCTGGACCTGCTGGCCAGGTACAGCAGCTGTGTATGTTCTCTGCTCCACAGATGCTTGCTGACATTACAAACAGATGTGCTGGTACATTTAACAGGTAACTGAGGAGATGCTGCTACTCCATAACTTTTTTTTTGAAGTTAGGGCTGCACCTTAAACATTGATGATTCAAACAAGCAGATGAGAGCCAGGATAGCAGCATGGCAGGCTACAGACTTTCACTTGCATAATCTTGTCTTGTGGTGGCTATGGCTAAGGAGGTAGAGCGGTTGTCTCCCAATCAGAAGGTTGATGGTTTGATTCCCAGTCCACATGTGGAAGTGTCCTTGGCAAGACACTGACCCCCCTAGTTGCCCCTGGAGGCCTGACAGCACCACCATCAGTAAGAAATTCCCCCACGGGGATTAATGAAGTATATTAGATTTAAAAAATGTAATTAAATTATTTCTGGCTTGCACCAATGACCTTTTCTGCAGTCCTGACTTTCCTCTGAAGTCTGTACTTGTCCTGTTTGGTTGCTGAGCCAAACCAGACAGTGATGGAGGTGCATAGAACAGACTCCATGATTCCTCTGTAGAACTATATCAGCAGCTCCTGGGGCAGGTCGAACTTCCTGAGCTGGTACAGGAAGTACATCCTCTGCTGTGCCTTCTTGATGATGGTCCTGATGTTAGACGTCCACTTCAGGTCCTGGGAGATAGTGGAGCCCAGGAACTTGAAGGACTTTACTGCTGATACAGTGCTGCCAAGTATGGTGAGGGGGGTGTTAAGGTGGGAGGGTTCTTCCGGAAGTCCACTGTCATCTCCACTGTTTTGAGCGTGTTCAGCTCCAGGTTGTTGTGGCTACAGCACAGGACTAGCTGCCCAGCCTCCTGTCTGTAGGGCGACTTGTCATCATCTTGGATGAGGCCAATGACCGTTGTATCATCTGTGAACTTCAGGAGTTTAACAGAGGGGTCCCCTGAGGTGCAGTCGTTGGTGTAGAGGGAGAACAACAGCGGGGAGAGCACACATCCCTGGGGGGCGCCTGTGCTGATTGTCCGGGTGGTGGATCTGGTTTTCGCCAGCCTCACCTGCTGCTTCCTGTCAGTTTAGAGTGGAGGATGTCTGGGATGATGGTGTTGAATGCTGAGCTGAAGTCCACAAAGAGTAAGTTTTAAGAACAGACCTCAACACGTGGTCAGGCTGATAGGGAATCAGCACTTTGCAGGTGGAGTCTAGAGCCTGACCATTGATGGCTCCAAAAACAACTAGTAAAGTCTTAAAATCAGTCCTAAAAACTCCCAGGTGAAGGGCAGATGATGCTACAGTCCAGCCTGGAAGTCAACACACTATTATGTGCAGAAACGAGCGGGCCAGTGTAACCAGAACAGAGGTCAGTGACGCTGTCTTCCTTCAGATTCTGTACAAAGTGGAGCTGTTTGTTGAAACCTTATGTTTCCTGAGGAGGGAACCTGCCCCCCAGTGCAGCAGTGTGGCTCCTTGGAGTGGGTTTAATAGTTTGTGGATGACTGTGGAGGTCTACGACACAGACCGATAAACCAGGGTCTCGACTCACATTGGATGGGAGTTGGCTTTGTCCTTTAACTCAGATCTGATTGACATCAGGATGGGAGTTGGCTTTATCCTTTAACTCAGATCTGATTGACATCACTGTTCTGGGATTTGAAATTAAAACATTTGAGTTCCCTCTCTCTGCTTTTCGGAGCTTCCAAGAAGCAGATTCCTGGATTTAGGAACATGGAAAAAGAATCTGACTTTCCACATAAACTTTCTTTCTGTACTTCTGTCCAGGAGAGGAGTGTTCATCCCAGAGGAGCTGGCAGATTTGGAGCAGCTGCTGTGGAGGCTGGCTCAGGGTGCAACAGCTGCTGTGGAGGCTGGCTCAGGGTGAAGGAGTGATGGCTTCATCTCCTCCTGTTCCTCAGTACCGCTCCCCCCTTGGCCTCGACCTCCACAGCCTCTTCATCACCTTCTGTGTGGATCACGGCCTGCAGTACCTGCTCTACACCTACCTGGAGCACTACAGGTGTGTCGACAGGATGTACCCTTCAGCCTCCAGCTGGCTGTGAAATGTTAGGGAGTTCAGCAGCTGCTAATGAGCTCCTCTCTCCACAGGCTGACACCCAGAAACTGCCCCCTCCTGACCTGTCTGAGCCTATCTGAGAGTCGGCCCTGGTTTGAGATGCTGGTAAAGATACAGGAGATCACCAGAAACCTGTCAGGTGACTGCTTTGGTACTGGCTCCTGCCAGGACAGCAAACTGACCTTCTGGGTGGAGTGCTGCATGTTGACAGTTTTGATCGAGTTATTAACAACATTACTTGATAAATCATTTAGGCTATTTAATGAAGCAAAATTATCAAACGTTTTCTGGGTCTGCTTCTGAGATGTGAGGATTTTCTACATGAGTATTGAGATGTTTTGTACAAAACGAGCCACTCTGGGAAATTGTGATGGCATGCTTCCTTTTTCTTCTCATTGAGTCACTTTGTCCTTTCTTCTGTTGCCCAGCAGTAGGTACCAGGCTCAGCTTGTTCCTTGTGACTGGTTATCTGGTTGTCTCTGTGTGTCATTCCAGACCCAGGCCTGGTCTTTCAGGCCAGTCTAACCAGTGCTCAGGTGCTGTTACCAGGCAGCCAGGCGTCTCTCAGCAGCCTGCTGTTCGAGGGCCACAGTCTGCTGGCTCTGGCTGCCATCATGTTCGCCCCTGGAGGCATTGACCAGGTAAACATCACCTCTCATCCTGCGTGGTCTACTGTCAAGTGCCCAGATGTCCTTCCACCTGTGCTGTAGGGTGAAACAGGAAAAGAGGATTTAACTGAAATGAATAAAAGAAAGAATGAGAATATTACCTTGTAATTAACTGATGTGCCAATAAGACTTTCTGTTGTCTGTGAACTTTGCTCTAATTGTTACCTTCTGAGTTTTTACAGAGAAGTGGAAAAAATCAGTCAGTCAGGACTGGACATGCGTGCTCCCCAGTGTGGTTGATAAGTTCCTTTAAAGTTAGATACTGGGCAGTGTGACCACAGTTCTCACACCACTGTCAACCAGTTTCCTTGGGGAGATACTGTGGTGGCCCCAGTAGTTGCACGAAATGGAGAACAGAAAACAGAAATAAAAAGAGCTTGGCAGAACTGAAGGGAGAGGAGTCCCTCGTAGCATCCCTCTATAATGATGTCTTTTCAGATAGAACTGCTCTGTGTATTCCTGGGTCCAGGTGGTGGCTCAGGATGAAAGGACAGCCAGGCCAGAGAGGACAGTTGACCCCCAGCTCCTTAAGATGGCACTGGCACCCCACCCCAAACTGAAGGCCGCCCTTTTTTCCGCTGGGCCCCGAGGAAACAGCCCGTCCTCCGACATCTCTGTCTATCACCTCCTGCAGGTACACTCACACCTGTCAGCACCAGTCCTCATTCGATTGCAAACGTCAGCAGCCAGTTAAAAGAGTGTTGCACCCAGTAACCACGCTGTGGAACTGGTTTTAATGAGCGCTCTGTGCTGAGCAGAGCTCTCCTCTGTTCATGCAGTAGCCTCTGACCATGGTAGTCCTCCTGCTTGTTGTAGTAGCCTGTGTGTATGTTGCAGTAAAGTTGATGCATATGAGGTAATTGCACTGAGCTGGTGTGTTTTCCAGTCACTCCATCCTTTGGACCCATCCAGGCTGTTTGGCTGGCAGGTGGCAAACACCCTCAACTCCACTGGTGAGATCCAGATATCAGCTTTAAGGTCACCACAAGATCATGAGCCCCAGTACGTTGATGCTTATGGAGTTAACACTGTCTCCAGATTCTGTTTGCTGTGTTAAAGCAGCAGCAGAAGGAGCGGCAGCAATACCACCAACAGAAGTTGGTGCAGTAGTAGGCACAGTAGTGCTAGTAGTAGTCAGAGAAGTAGCAGAAGTATTGGCAGCAGTATGGGTAATAGCAATGGCAAAATAAAACCAATACTAGTAGTAGAAGTATTAGCAGCAGCAGTTGTAGTAGTGGCAGAAGTGTCACCAGTAGAAGTATAGTAGTAGTAATAGTAGAGGAAGTGAGAATACACATTACATTAATACACAGATTTAGACTGACTAAAGCTGTGGATTCATTTTTTTGGGTCTCTCCACAGAAATGTCAGAGCTGCCTCATTTCTCTAGCCCTCACCTGGTCAACAGGTTCGCTCTGGTGGAGAACCTAGACTTCCTGTACTACCTCCGTCATGGCCGACCGTCCTTCGCCTATGCCACCTTCCTCATCCAGCAGCTGAGCAGCTGCTGTGACATCATCGTGCTGTGAGTATGATGCACTAGTTGAGTTCTGGGTGATGGCCAAAAGTTGGAAAGACAAAAACCACAGCATTAGTGATGTGTGTGTTTCAGAGTGCAGCAGGCACAGCAGCAGGTGTACAGGCTGGCCCTGCAGTGTTTCAACGTGCCTTCTGTGGGGTCGGCTGCAGTTTGTTTCTGCGAGCTCCTGGGAGTCTGCAGCCTCAAGCTGAGAGTCAACATCAGAGCCATGAACGCCATCCTGCAGCACTGGAACCGACACGACACACACAGCCCTCCAACACAGCATCTGCACACTCTGGGTAAACAACACAACATCTGTACACTCTGAGTAAACAACACAGCATCTATACACTCTGGGTACACACTCTCTAGCATTTTGTTTCAGTGTCTAAAGGTATAAAGCTGGCAGAGGCGGAGCCTGGAGCAGCCGAGGAACTGATTGGCTACCTGGAAGCTGCAGTGACGGACAGTCTGGAGCAGAAGGGCATCAGCAGGTGAGCTCCATCTGCACAGCACTACTGTCATCATGTGTCCTATGTTCTAAGTTATTTCTGGGACTGTCTGACATTGGAGTAAAAAGCAATGGACATACATCCTGCTGGAGGCTTGATGATGCAGTTGTGCAGGCTAGCTGGCCAAATGTGTAGTTTATCGTTCAGAGAAAAGGCCATCTGCTCATGCACAGCTAGCCACCAGTTAGCAAGCTAGAGAAGTGACCAGACTCGATGGTAGTTGCATCAAATACGTTTTAAGACGAGACCTCAACGCGTGGTCAAGTTGACAGGGCCTCAGCACATCGCAGGTGGGGTCAGGAGCCTGACCATTCACAGCTTTGACAACATGCAGCAAAATCAGTCCAGTGGTCAGACTCAATAACCACAACCATTCTTTAACTCACTGTTTAATTAAAGGGTGAGTTCACCTAAATTATGAAACACAACACATTCTCTCACTTCCACTTTGCAGCTAGTTATTGTTTTATTTGACAAGATGCTGAGACAAATTAACTTTTGCTTGTGCTTCCCCCAGTGGTGAAAATAATATTTTCAAACATGTTTCTTAGTCTTAAGGAGTCTTACTGAAAACTGTTCACACCAGCTGTATAAACTGATAACAGGCTGCTGACATTGTAAAAGTCATATTTTAGTGCAGAAACAAACAGAAGGGCAAATAACACCAACAATATCTGCATGACTAGCTACCATTAGGGATACATGAGAAAATATGCTGTTTGTAATTTGGGTAAAGTGGCCCTTTACATATGCAATCAGATTTAAATCCATGTTTGCTGACTAGTTGAGGAAATCAGCCGATCACAGAGCAGGTGAATATTAATCAGCGTCTGCTGCTGAAATGTGGTGTTAGGGAGCTTGCTGTAAAACACTGAGCGTTCTGCTAGTTTGGGAGTTTGCTCAAATGAGAAAAGCTTCAATTCTATTTAAAGCCTCCACTCTCCACTGAAAAACAAAATGGTGAGATTAATGATAGATTGTATTCTTGATTTTTTTTTTTTCCCCTTTATTGGCTTTTTGTGGACAGAAAAGGTTAGAGCAGGGATGCCCTAATACAACATTATGAGAAAAGTATACATAAAGTTTATTTGTGTGTGTGTGTGCATGTATGTGTCAGGGCATCCTATGAGGCGGCTCAGGAGTGGGCATTGCCTGTTCAGTTCTGTCAGCTCCACAATCTGAAGCTCAGCTCTCTTTACCCCACTCACTGTGCTGATGACGGACAGTTCGTCCACTTCCTCTTGTTTGTCCAACTGCACACACACCCCCCCCATCATCCTGAACAGGTGGCACATGCTGCCTTCATTACACCCTGCAGAAATCAGCTACATCTCTGGTCACATCAGACTTTATTCTTAAAAAGGTGTCACACAGGGCTTTCTAACTTTTATTTTCACTAAGCAGTGTAAAGTACATGCAAACTAAAACTTGGTGCCATGTCATTTCTGCTGTAATATAATCTCTCTGTAATATTGTGTTCTGTAAACTGCTTCCTCTGACCATATTTGGTTCTTCCTCCAGGTGAGGTCACTGGTGGCTCATTTTGGCCCCGCCCTTCAGGCCCACATGAGCCTGGCGTTTCAGGACCTGCAGGTGCACATTCAGAGTAGAAGCTGTGGCCCTGAGCTGCAGACCCAGTGTCTGAGCACAGAGGAGGCCCCGGTGAGCCCTGAGCACCCCAAGGAGCTGTTCCAGGTCCTCCTGCAGAGCCAGGAGGAGGTGTCTCCCTGCAGTTACCTGCTGCAGGAGGCACTGGTTCAGCGCTGCCCAACTCTGGCTGTGTTGGCTGCCTGTCAACAGGTAAACGGATAAAATACACATGGTTGTGAATACCTGCAGCTACAATATCAACAGCAAAGCATCATGCACAGGAACAGCTTGATTTTGGCCCCACAAGGCTCGGCTGCTAATCTTTGGTAACATAACTTTTACACTTTTAACACTGTCTTTATTTTCACTTTGTTCTGTTTGTACTGATACATAATCAGAAGATGCAAATTAAAGTAAACCCAAGTTATGTGTGTCTGCAGGAGAGGACAAAATGTCTTTCTAATGAGGTCAGGCTCCATCAGTAAAACTGGATTCAGTTACTGTATATAAAAAATGACAGCAATATATGCAACTGAATATAATCCAGCTTGCAAATACATAAAGTTTGCCATGCACTCATCACTAGCTGCCGCACAGAGCAGTTAACCTCAGCATCTTGATTTACTTGGTAACAGTGCCAAACAGTCGCTGATCTCTGCTCTGTTTACACTACCCCGCTAGCTTCTCACGCTACACACAGCATCACGTTGGAGCTGTTTGTTGAAAACAGATGGGGCCTCACATTTCTCCTGAGGAATAAACATCACCCAGTGCAGCAGTGTCTCTGGATGCAATTTTGGAAAATTCCAACATACCAAATCACCGGCTGCATCCTTTAAACATATTTCTTGTTAAACCTGTTTGACTGACAGGGGGCGGAGCTGCTGCCGTGCCTCTGCGTGTGGGTGCTGACATCCGTCAATGAGGTCACGGCTGGGGAAGCCACCTCTCACCTGGCTGAAGCCCCCCAGCACCATGATTGGACCCTGCACGACCTATCAATCATCTGGAGGGTGCTGCTGGGGTGCGGGTGCATCAGACCCCTCCTTCGAGGTTTTGAGCTCTTCCAGAGGGTAAAATGATTCAGATGTGATCATAGAAAGAGATTTGAAAACAGACAAGTGCACCCTCTCTCTGGGACTGTGACAGTTATCACAGCATGTGCAGCTGGTTCAGGCCATGTGCTGAATGGAGGAGACATGAAAAGTGGTTCAGAAAGAATTATACGCACTGGATTAGAGCCCCTGCTTTAATGCTGGGTTTCAAGCACAGTATTTCTGTTATTTTGGGATTTGGTTGGTTCATGGTTGGTTACAGGGTGTTTTGATTTTTTTTAATTTAATTTATTCTTTCAGCTTAGCATTAATGTCAGATGATTATTTTAGAAAATAAAACGGATAACAAATGTCTAATATTCAGGCAATGGATACAGTTTATCAAACCAAGATAACTTTGCTTGACTGATTTTAAAGACTAAGTCGGAGACTCAGATATCTTAGTCTTTGCTTGTCTCTCCCAGGACTGTCCTCTGGTGCTAGTGCTGAGGATGTTCGAGTTGTGTTGTGACTACAGGAACTTCTCCGAGGCCAAAGTGAAGCTGCTGGACTTCCAGAGGACGCTCATCACTGTGAGTTTCACCTGTTAGCAGCCAGTGTGCACTGTGACATCAGGTTGTAAACCTGCCTGAGACCATGTACATAATGTATCATAGTCAACATTTGTTGTTTTATTTTCACCTTCTCATTGTGTTGCAGCTGCAGATTGGTTTGTGGTGCTTTAAGAAACCACAGATGCCTGAGATTTGACTGTCCCCTACCAAACACGTTCCATTTCACCTTTTCTGTTGTTGGGAAATTAAACCAGAAAGACAAACAGTAATCAAACAAATCTTGTTTCTGTCGACCTCGACTGATTTGACTTGTCATCCTGACACAGTGATGTAGAAGTGTCATTCCTGTTCAGGATAAAAACATCTGCTGTCCTACCCGCAGACAGTACTTTCATAAAGACATTAAAGGTTCTTCGCTTGGTCAGTAATGTTCTAGTCTCCCAGGCAGTGGGCCAAGCTAAGAGCAGTGCACGGAGCCAGGACAGGGAAGACTCACCTCACTGAGGAGCAGTGTTCATTCTCTCTAATCTGCCTCCTCTTCCTCCTCTATGTTACAGCTGCGAAACAGCAGCCCAGCACCTTCTTGTGGCCTGCCCCTGCAGTGGGTGGAGAGACAGGCCTCTGTGCTTCTCTTCACCATGCTGCAGCGCTGCTCCTCCCAGTATGACCTCCATCGACTGCTGCAGCTCCTGGCTGACGTCGACAAACTCCTCAAATCCAACGGTGAGTCTGTCGCCTCTTAAACTGACCACAGAACTTGTCAAACGCAGCTCAGAGAGACAAGGATTATCAGCTGCTCCCATCAAAGGTATGATTTACACCAGCTGCTGTCGTCCTGACCTCTGATCTTCAGTAGACTTCGTCACACTGAAACATCATTTTCTGCTAAAGTTTAGCAAATCCTTCCTTACACAGATAGTTTTTTGAGTTACTTTGTTGTTCTTGTGTATTTGCGTGTGCTGTGCGTGCAGGTCCAGACTTCAGGAAGCTGAGTCAGCTCAGTCATCTGCTGCAGGGTTCAGGGGTCAGCCTGTCTCCCAGACTCCTGCAGTGCACTTCCCCCTCCATCCAGCAGGAAGAGTTCCAGGCTGCGGTGGACGCTCTGCAGGCCAGGGGGCACTACAGCCAGGCCAGAGAGGTGGCCATGCTGGCCGCCCTGCCTGTGCACTGCCTGCTGCTCAGCCAGGTCTGCTTCACAGTCCACGTCCTGGGTTATATTTATATTGAAGGCTCAGCCAGTAGATGTTCTTCATGCATGTCTGTTACTTACATCTTTGTTTCTTGTTACAGTTACAATAAACATTTCTATTTTGCATTGTATGATTATACCTGAACCAAAATGGAGATGACCATATGACTTTTTCTTCTTTAATTCATTGCTGCACATGGGTGGTTATCCACAAAATTTACTGAGCACATTCATGATCCCCAGAAGATGAACCAGATGAACCCTGTCTGTTTTGGGCACTCCAAGAGTTTTCCTCTGGTTTCCTTACAAATGATCTTGTTCTCTAACAGCTGATTCAGGATTGCCCCTTCTTATTGAATACGGACTGATGAGCGACAGTCCACTTTAAGTGAAATATACAGCACAGTAAAGTGGGGGGGGGTTCCTGTTCCATCCTGAAGCTGCTGTGTGTTCCATTACTGCCTCGACCTGGGCAACCTGGCTTTAACCGCTGACACGTTTTTCTGCCTTTCATGTAGCTACTCCAGGAAGTGAACTCCCAGAGGCCCAAGCAACAGTGGAGGAGGCTGGAGACCCGAGTCACTTTCTGGAGGAAATGTCACAAGCAGCTGAAGGTTGCCAACACTGATCCAGAATCCGCCACCCAGTTCTTCCTGTCCCAGGCTGAAACTGGACCTGCAGAGGTTCAGATGGAGCTGCTGGACATCCAGGAGCACTGTCTGCTGCTCAGCCTGGCCGCTCACTGGCTTTCCCAGCTCAGCCCGGCTCCTGTGGACAAGCTGGAGAGCCTGGAGAAAAGGCTGTGGATTAGCAGGGTCCGACAACAAGTGCTAACTGTCGCCATGGAGGAGGACAGCGTTTTCAACCTGCCGCCACCCGCCGTGACACCTGAAATGAACACATACGAAGTGCTCATGAAGGAGTTGTCCTTCTCGAACATATCGGGCCCAAACACAGAGAAGTGCCTCAGTCTGGAGGGACTCCCAGGGTCCCCAGAGGAGCAGGAGGAGCTGAGCATGAACTCAGGCTTGAGTCCAGAGGAGAGGGCCGTTCTGGCTGTGCTGATTGGTCAGTTGTTAGATGAGGGCAGCATCCATGAAGCCAGCCGGGTCTGCCGTTATTTCTCCCTGTCTCACCCGGACATGTGGCTGGTGCTGCGCTGCCGAGGCCTGGCCTCAGGTGAACTAAACCCCGAACCAAAGGAGGAGGTGTCGGACACTCCGCCCAGGAGCGGCATCCTCAGCTGTAAGCGTCTCTCTGACCTTTCTGTATCAATTTATCAGGACAACATACATTAAGGAACACTTCTGTGAATGTCCCAGTGGTTCACTGATTCTTAGGTTTTTGGCATCATGTACATTTTTATTACAACAAAAAACATAGGATGTTAATATGGAAGACAACACAGTAGATACAGGACACTTACAAAACAGCATAAGAATATACACCAGTTTGATGAGTGTACAAGAGGTTTCATGAGTTGTGAGGGAGTGTTCAGCTTTGTTTAGTCTGGAAATGAGAATATACAGCATAAGGTAGAGAGAGGGAAGGCAGTGGGGGGGGCGGACAAATAAAAACACTTTCAGCTGCTGTCCTGTCGTGAGAAAACAGTACAATGTGTAATAAAACGAACATTTGCACCACAGTGCACAAGCCCTGCAGATCCATGTAGCACCAGAATTCAGACCTAGTTTGTTATCAGCATAACCTTTTGTTCAGGAAGTGACTCATTACATTTATTCAAGTGCAGGTTTGGGTGCTAGTACTTGACTTGAGTGGTTCCATTTTCTGCTACTTCACTTTTCACTACATTTCACAGGAAGATATTGAACCTTTTACTGCAGTACACTTTGCAGATACACATCTGTACTTTCTCTACTTTTACATGAGTAAAGTTTTGAATGCAGGACTTTTACTTGTAATGGAGTATTTTTATAATGTGGTGCTGCTACTTTTGCCCAGGTAAAGTATTTAAATACTTCTTCAACCACTGCCCGTGGACTAGAAGTATAAAGTGAGTCACCAGATGTAATATCTGTGTCTTTCTCGCTCTCTGTCTCCTGCAGCTCCTTCATTCAGCAGCCTGTCGTCATTTGTGATGTTCCCAGGCCCCGAAGACCAGGTCTCTGTCCAGCTCCAGAGACTGGTGGATCAGTGTCGCCATGGCAACAACTACTGCAAACAAGTCCTCTACCAGCTCTCCAAGGTGTTAGTAGTACCAGTACACAGTGTCTGTCTGTTGTCATATTGAAAAGCATGTGGATTAGAGTAGAGCAGTACTGTGCTGACCCGGACAGTGCTACTACAGCACATTTCAAACACAGAGGCAAGTCTAGGTGCTTTACACACAGTGGCAAGAGACATATTATTAACATTTTGAGGAAATAAAGATCAAGGTCAAAGATTTTTATTGTCAATTCACTATATGTGCAGGACATAGAGAAAACTCAAAATACTGCTTCTCTCTCACCTAGTATTGAATGCCCAGAAAGAAACTAAAATAGAATAAAAGTAGAATAAACATAGAATAAATATACTTGATTGGCCGGCAAACTGTCCTGACTTAAACCTCATTGAAAATCTA